AAGATCAGTGAACTGTGAAAATCATTTTAGAACAGGGGTGTCAAACTCCTTTTCCCCAGGGGGCTACATCAGCCTCATGGTTGCCTGTAAAGGACCGAATGGAATTTTAGGCCTGTATAAATGTAACCTCTTCACAGTTAAGCGAGAGCTCGGGCACTGCCACCGCGGAGAAATAAGGTGGAGGGCCAGATTTGGCCCACAGGCCTTGTGTTTGCCACCTGTGTTTTAGAGGCATACTTTTTCATTATCAAGACATACAAGTGGATTTTATTTGATGATAATTAAAAATGCAGGTATATCATATTACAAGATGTTCTTCAAATTAGGCCCCCTCAAATAGGAAATTTTAAATGATTAGAATTCTGCCAGACAAAACAAATATTCATGAGGGAATATTTTTGTCTGTCAGCTTAAACTGAGAACTCAAGAATAGCATTCCTTACATTGCTGTTCTTATTTATGGATGAGCTTCCTTCAGTTCCTTCCTTTCTTTTTTATTCTCAACCAATTCTACTTGCTTGTCTTTTGTAGAGGCATACAAAAAGTTTTATTATAGATTTACTGTCTCCTTTGTAAATACTATTCTTACTATATACTATAATACTATAAATACTATTGAAAAAGCTTATTGGTTGCCACATAGTAAGATAATTGAGATAAACTTCCCTTGTTCTCTCAAACCCCAGAGGTTTTGTTTTAATTACCTTGTACCTTGCTGTTTTAGATGAAATTACTTAAATTTGTGAATAAATGTTAATATTGTCAATTGGGTTTTTTTGTACCACCTATACGTCCGTTTCTTTATTAATGAATTGAAGTCATCCGTACAGGTGTAGAATTTTTAAATATTTTCTGATGACAGAAACAATACTCACGTTGTGTTAAAAACGTGGGAGATAAAAACACAAAGAAGAAAAAATCATCCCAAATTTTACAACCTAGAGAGAACTATTAACATTTTAGTAACTTTCCTTTCAGTCTTTGTTCTGCATATATTTTAGGTTTTAAGAATAATTTTCATTTCTCTCACAGTCATGGCACAGATTGAAAAACAAAAAAGATTTGAACAGTATACTACCTTTAAGAGCTGCTGTCCTGAAAAGATGACTGGCCTCTATTTCTTAATAAATTCTTCTGAGAAATGAAGAACAGTAGTAACACCATAAAGCATTTTGTTTACCTCGACCATACTTTCTTTTCATTGGTCTTGTCTTCATGTTTTATTTTTAAGAGGACATACTTATATAAAGACTGCATATTTTATTATGACATTTCCTAATAAGACCCTTCAATTTAAAGATGTATTTTTAAAAATGTTTACATTGATGATTAGTAATATGGCATGGATTTTCAGTCAATCAAATAAAATATTTTTGGGGGAATTATCTGAACAAATAAAAGGTTTTGATATAACTTCAATTCATTGTACTACATGCTAATACTGAAGAGATTTGTGGTATTTGGGGAAGTGTAATCTACAGTAGTTTATTGCCTTTCTGTTCTAGTAAAGTGAAGATTCAAGTCAGTTATTCAGTTACTTGAAGCAAAACGAAATCTTGTATTTCAGTGAAATCACTGCAGAAGCATGAAATACTGGACAATTGCCTTAAGTCTTCACTTGACTCACCAGAATAGAGGTTTTGGGTGTGTCTGTATTAGCATTTCATTAGTACCTCACATGCTTTTGATGTACTTTTGAGATTGCTTTAAATTTTTTGTGATAAAAGTACCTTTTGCACTGTAGTAATATGATTGCTAACTCTGTATTATACAGCAGTTAGTTAATTGTTTTAAAAAATTAGTTCAGTGTAGACATTTTGAAGAGATTAAGTCTCCTGTGCTTTATGGTAGCTTAGTGCAATAAGCGCTTTAGCTTTACTTCCCACTTTTGTGCTTTTATTTTCCCTGTGACATAAGCAACAGAAACTTAAAAGATCAAAGTTGAGATTATATCCTGTTGAGTGTATCAGATTTTTTTCTGTGTACAATTATAGGATTGTAATCTAAACTGGAAATTTTAGACAATAAGCCTCTATAAAATGGTTTAGGGTAAGACATAAAATTATTATAAATAAAAGCTTAATGTTTGTAAAGATATCTTTTTTAGTGTTTCTTTTCCACATGAAGAAGAGTGGTGGCTGCTGAAAAAAGCTACAGTGTTTATTAAGGTTGTTTGTGGGTTATGTAAATATTTGTAAATTGGTCAGGGACTGTACATTTAAATAAGAAAAGTAATCTTGGAAACAGTTTTAACTTTTCAAAAGAACTCTATACAACTTCTTTTAGACCTACTATAGCACAGTTTGTACCTCTAATGTCCTTGAGGGGTTTTTTTGCAGACCAATTCAAATGCTAAGACTTGCTTTTCTTTGACTTGTAAAAGGTGCATATTTTTATTTTCTTCCTTAAGTTTAAAGTTTTGTATTATGTCAAATGGAATAAAGTTTATATATGGAAATTGTTTATGTGGTTTTGTGTGTGTGTGTGTGTGTCAAAGTCTTTTCTTTTGAGGTTATTTTGCTTGATTATTTAGATTATACAAAGGAAGGGTCTTGGAATCAGGTTTGTTCATTGTTAAGCCAGCTAACCACATCAACACCCTATTTCTCTGGCATTATTGGTAATGAAGCATTCTAGATAGCTGAATGTTTTTAGGTTACTGATGGTTAAGACTTTTGAAACAATTAAGCTTTATATATTCCTTTTCTTGGAAATTTTTCTGAAGTGTATTATACACTGTGTCACTTCTTTATCAGAATGTTCTGAGTATAATTAATATACTAGTAATGACTCTGGGTAATCATTAGAAACAATAAACACTAGTCACAGTATTCCATAGTGATTCTGTGAAGCTCTCAGGGACTGGCGAGTATGTAGGGCGCTCCACCTCTACAGTATTACATTTCCAGAGACCCTCCCCCACCTCCACCAAGTTTACCATGGCATGGACTCCTTCACTGCCTCTCTTCTCTCATCTCTCAGAGGACCCGTACTCCCACCCCCACACAGCTCATTTCACTGCTGCTTCTTTTTAACTATTTTGCTGAAAAATAGATCAAAGTTAATAAACTTACACCCAATTCAAAATCAGTAAACTTAAGCCTTAGATTACATGCCTTGTGACAGCCAAATATGTCAAATAAATGGGCTGTTAATATGAGAGTTTTTTAGCCTTTTAAATTATTTTCAGTATGAATTACTTATTCAATCATGTGAATAATACATTTTCTGTTTATATTGATCTGCCCATATTTATATATTTTCATGTTACTCAAGAGTAATATTAGAAAGTTAAAAACATGCAGTCTGTATTGCATTACTAAATTTTGTATTGAACTAGGATCTTTACGAATAAATTTTGGTGACTTTAGTGTTCCCAAGAAATTTTGAGTTAAATGAAAGGAATGTACAATGGATAGCTATAGTTTTGATGAGTGTTTTAACATTCCCTTAGCTGCTATTTAATTCTTTTTTTGTCCTAGGTGAACAGGCATTTGGGATTACTAATGGAAAAGGCTCACTTATGTTAAGAGAATGAAGGTTGCTGCTGTTCAGTGTGGTTTAGTGAACCCAGGGCTCTGTTCTGCTCTCCTCTTCTCATGCACACTAGCTGATGCTTCCGTACTGTGTCTGCACTCTGCAGTTCTTTGCCTACAGGCTTGTTGCATGCATACAAGCCAGTGTAACTGGTGAATACTACCTAGCTTATGTTCATCATGTGTAACAATTCTGTGACTAGAGTTTACTGTAATTAAAAATAAAAGCTGTTCTAGCCACACAATCATCCTCATGAAAAGAAAAATATATGTGTTGTAACGCTATCTCTGCCTGTTACACATACTCAACAGGTTTGGTCCTGTTCTCGTAGTTCACAGAACATTTATTAAGTGCCTACTCCGTGCTATGTACTTTGTTAGCTTCTAGGCTTGTAAGAGATGGGGATGATGGGACAAAAGTAAGTAGCAAATTCACAAAGTCTACTAAGGCAAAAAGAAACAACTTGAACATAGGATTGTAGGAACCCGGAAGACGGGTATTGAACTTAACCTGGGAATTTCAGGGATCTTGAATGATGAGTAACCCTGTAAATAAAGGAGAGAGACACTCAGGAGGAACTGTGTGAGTAAAGGCACAGCAGCCTAATGTGGTAAATGTTGAAACTCATGACTTCTGTAGAAGAGACAAGACAGGTATGGACTGTCTGCAATGTGTATTTTCCTGAGGTTAGGCATTTTAAGCATGAACACGACTTGGTCCCACCAAAGGCCTGGGGATCTTTGTGTTGAGTTTCAGACAAAACAGCCTTTGGCAGATGTGGCAAAATTACTTCTCGGTGTTTGAAACTGGTGGCAATAAAAGTGTCCTGGCTGAACAGTCCAGGGGCCACTGAGGAAGCATATGATACAATTTACTGGTTTGCAAACACAGAGATGGCCAATGCTGCACAACAGTTCAAAGCTGGGCCTTTGAATGGGACAACTTTGCTTTGTTTCCTATTGGGTCACTTTACCAGCCCCCAGACCATGAGCAAGTTAGCTAGCTACCCAAGCTCTTTTGAGCCTCCGTTTTCTCTAGAACACCAGCATTGTAATTATACCTCTGCCACAGCAGAATTGTGAGGGGATTGGGGAAGTGAGACCATAGGTGAGTGCCTGAACTAGTAAGTCCTGTGCTCAGTAAGAGTACCTAGTTGGGATAAAGGGTGCACCAAGCAGCTTGGCTGGAAACAAAGCCTACCAAACCCACTCTAGAAGAAAGAGGTGGGGCCGGGCGCCTATCCTCCCATTTCCTGGCGCTGCGGGCCAGAGCGGGCGCCCCTTGCACGGAGCCGTGGGTGATCTTAAGTTGTCCCAAGGGTCCGCCAGGGATCTGACTGAACTGCGGCCGGGGAGGGCCCCGGGGAAGTTGGCAGACGCGCGGGGGAAGAGGAGAAGCTGAGTCCGGGCCCTAGAAGTTCCCTGGCGAAACTTTTTGACGCCTTCTATTTAAAGTCTCGGGGCTCGCCCGCCCCCGGGCCGGGAACCCGAGCCGCCTCGCGCGCGGGCCAGAGGCGCAGTCAGAGGGAGAACACCAGGCGCGGCGCGGGCGGCTCCGGCTCCGGTCTGGCCCGGGAAAGACGCGATGGCTAGCGACAGCAACCACACCGCCGAGACCTCTCTGGGCTCCGATGGGGACGAGGAGGCGACTCGAGCTCTGGAGACCGAGGAGGAGTCTGAGGGCGAGGAGGACGAGTCGGCTGCGGAGTCGGAGTCGGAGCCTGACGCCAGGTAGCGAGCGCACCTCTCAGGCTCGCAGCCCGGGCGGCCCGGGGACTGGCAGGGCGGCCCTGGCCAGGGCAGGTGCTTTGCGGGGCAACTCCACAGTCTTGGTTTTTCTGTTCTCGAGTTCATCCCCTCTAGCTAAGTTCTTTCTCTCTGGGGGCGCCGTCTTAAGAACTTAAAGGTGAAGGTGCCTGCTGTCAACTGGAGTGACAGGCCCGCCTGCAGCAGCAGCAGCAGAAGCAAAGTTCATCCCTCCCGCCCCCGCTCCTCCTCCATTACCCCCTCCCATCCAGGCCCAGCTCCTTGAGTCTTGCTGCTCTTGTTTGTTTATTCCTGGGAATTTGCGTGGGGTCCTGTTTAACTACAGAATGTGCAGAAACTCTGACTTTTGGCTCAACGTATAGGAACACTGTTGAAAGTCTGAGCTAGAGAGAGGGGGTATGGGTGGGGGGTGAAGGTGGCAGAGGCTGCTCCGGAATCTTCAAATGACTGGAGGTCTCTTGGTTGGCTGATTCTTGGCTAGGTTGCTACAAGGGGACTTTATTTTGGTACAAAGGCCCATAAACTCTTTGGAGAAAAGAACCGTGAGTTTCAGTAACCCTTGTTCTAAAACTCCTGCCTTTTTTTCTCTTTTTTTTTTCATGGTCCCAAATACCAACATTTCAGTGAATGTAAATGCAGTTAGGTAATACTTATAAATTTGGTTTTCCCACTATTTGAATCTTCCTCTTACCTCCTTTCATGGAGACCCTAAAGTGAGAATAGGAGGAATCGTCTCCTCTCTATTTAGATTGGTTTCTACTTTTCCTGTTCTCTTTGGGTATGGGTTTTGTTTTGTTGTTGTTGTTTTTTGAGTATGGGCATTTTTTTTTGTTTTGTCTATGAGTTATGTCCCTTCCCATTTCTAGTAATATCAACAGAAAGGCCTACTTCGTAGGTGACGGATGTGTGTGCAGTATTTCAGAATGCACATCTTACACCAAGTTGAAAGTGCTGCCCAAACAAAGCCAGTAGAGTTGAAGTTCAAATAGTCCTAGAGTGGCATTGATTAGGGTGAACGGTCAGTCAGATAAGTCTGAAAATGGTCACATATTTACCAATCAACTACCAAGTGGGAAGCAGGCACAGTTCCTGTCCTCAAGGACTTTATGGGGGAAGTTTGAGAACAATATGGGGAGCATGATACTTTGTACTAACTGAGAGCGTGGGGGAGCACAGGGGGCCCTGTGGAAGGTCAGAAGAGAGTGTGTGCATCTGTGACTGCCTCGAGAAGGGGGCATGCCCTGGGTGCCTTACAGAATGGGCAGCAGATGCAGAAAGGAAAAGCAGAAGAGAAAGCATCTGTGGGAAATGGAACAAGGAAGAGCGATATTGATTGAGAAGGGGAAATCAGTCAATCCCAGACTTTATAATCTTTTTCTCTTAATGGTGCCTGGGATCCTCCCGTCCTTGCCTAACCTTAATTCACCACCATTCCCTTCTCCCTTCTCTCTTCCACAAGAATCTGAAAACTCTTAACTCTAAAATTTGACCAGCTGACAGTGATTTAAAGCCCCACTTTGGAGTTGCATTGCCCTTCAACTAAGGTCAAAATCTGTAGGTGTGAAAGGTATGATCTATATGCACATAAACAACTTACTCTGACTACAGGTGGTAAGGTGGACACCAGGGCAAGGGCCAGAATGAGTAAAGTGAAGGGAATCATGAGGACATAGGCAGGTGGTAGTGGAGGCCTTGAAAATCATCACATTTTTAAAAAAATTTGGATTCGATGACATTGGTAACAAGAAATCAGTAAACTGAACAGATTTTGAAGATCAGACTGGTGTCGTTTGAAAATGAGACTGAGGGGCGTGTTGGAAAGCTGGGTCTGGGAGGGTTCAGATCAGGGAGTCAGTGGGAGGGAAAGACAGGAGATGTATGGGGACTGAGCTGCCGTGGGGCACGGGGAACGGGTGGGAGCTGTAGCTAGAGGTAGGGAGCGGTCAGTGGGGAGGGACTTCTAGGAGAACCAGGAGACCCCGAATTTCTCCTACCTCAAAGTGTTGTCAGAAATCAAACCTTGTTGTTGTGTGTGAGTTTCACACACACACACACACACACACACACACACACGTTCCTTTTTCTTCTGAGACTAGAGAGGAGAACTTGGTATGTTCTCTCATCTATGGGAGATGAGAATGATGTCCTCTCGGCTGTCCCACCAAAGTTTTACAGAGTTTTACAACGTTTTCCTGAGACTGTGCCAGTCTCAGTGCTGTGCTTACAAATGTTTTCTCATTTTTAACACTTGCAGTACACTGTGAGCTGACTGTCTGGTTACGGACGGGGAAAATGAGGTTTTATGTAACTTTCTGAGGGTATAAGGCAAGTAAATGTAAGAACCAAGGTGTGAGCCTGAGTCTGTTTACTCCAAGCCACTTCGAGACTTTTCACTGCCTCTGTCCTTACTGTAGGGAAACTAGAATGACTCTGGCTGATTTCTACTTTGAAAGATTATTAGAGGAAGATGAAAGACTCTATCTCTTTGAATACTAGTGGGAGTTTTTTCCAGTTTTTTCCCCTTCTTGAAAGGAAAAGCTCTCTGCATTTTCTCAGAGGTCAGAACGATTCTCAGAACTTGAATTACAAATTTATTTTTTTTTAATTGAGAGACTCATAAAATTAAATAAATGAAAATAGCCTACTAAAATCACAGAAGGATTGATTATTGCATCTGTTTAATGTGATATTATTAAGCCACTATTAAAATTCTATTTGTGAAGATTTCCAACAATGTAGAAAATGCATATATTGCATTTGAAAAAAATTATATAAACTAGAATGACCTCACTATAAAATAAATTATGTATTAGAAAAAGGCATTAAAGATTAATAAAGGTTAACATAATAACATAATAAAGGTTATGGTAAACTCTATTAACCTTAAGATTTAAAAGGTTAATAGTGGTTGTCTCTGAGTCATATGATAATAGTTGACTAAAGTTTTTTCTCTATATCTCACTGAATTTTTTAGTTTTTCTATAATGAATAGATAACAGAAGAAACAGAAAAATATGATTATTAACTTTTACAAGATTCGAGGAAGAAAAAGCCTTACAGGAAGCACCTCCGAGTCGGGAGGAAGTGCGGGCCCCGCCCTGCTGGAAGTGCTGGGGAGGCCTCCCTCGGCAGTGGCCTCGGGAGCAGCGTCTTCCCTCGCCATGAACTGCCCAGAGGGCTCACAGTCCTTGGAGATCAGAACACATTTTTGAGTTCTTAAAACTTCATATAAAAGTTGTACATAAAAAGCAGCTCTGTTAAAACTCAGTGATTTTAGAGCAGGGTGAGGCTTTAGAAATATTTTTTCCCAACTAATTCTTTCATAGACTCAGAAACTGAGTGCCAGGGGACATTTGTTCAAAGTCACACAACTAATCAGTGGTAGAATTAGGACCAGATCCAGGTGTCTGGGTTCCAGTCGAATGTGTGTTAGTTTATTCATGCAACAACTCTTCATTGAACTCCTTCTGTGTGCCTGGCACTTTGTAAGCACAAAGGGAACTGCAGTGAACAAAACGAACAAAGTCTCTGCCCTCCTTGGAGTGACTTCCCCGTTTGGGGAGACAGACAAACAAAGATGTAACATGCCAGGTGGCAACTAAGTGCGAGGAGGACAAATACAGGAGGATAAGGGTTGCGCTGTTTCAGATAAGGTGGTGAGGAAAGCCTCCCGGGTGAGGTGACAGTTGAGTAGAGACTGAAGGAATGAATGTTCTAGGCAGAGGAAGAGCTGGGGCAAGGGCCCTGAGGCAGGAATGTACGTGGCTTGTTTGAGGAACACCAGGAAGGCAGGCTGCGGGAGCAGAGTAAACACAGGGGAGAGTCGTGGGAGATGAGTCTGGGAAGTAGCTGGGTTGCAGATCATGTAGGACTTTGTAGGCCTGGTGAGGGCTTCGAAGTTTATTCTGAGTAAAATAGAGCACCGTGTTCTATCGACCACACCACGCAGGGTTTAAAACACGAAACAAAACCCGGTGACTGCAGTATTCCCTCGGATAGTGAGTGCTGTGTAGCCATATATTCAACTAACATTTATTGAATACCTACTGTGTGCCAAACACTGTGCTACATGTTTCAAACTCATGATCTTTACGGAGGGATATGTAAATAGCCAGTCACTTGGGTTTTTGTTTTTGTTTTTTCTGATTGTGGACCAGTAAAACCTGACTCTTTGAGTATTCCCCATAGATCACTTAGAAATTTTTCTGTATTTTTGTTTTGGATCATTTTCTGTTGGTCAATTTTAATTTCTCTATTTAAGCACAGAGGATTTTTGCCATAGCAATATTCAAAACTTAAAAATTACTTTCAATTGCAGCTTTGTCAGTACTTGTAAAAATAAGTCTGTCTAAGCCGATAGAACTAAAATTATTAGGAGCATTTACATTTAACTAATCATTGTAGGAAACCTTTTGGAAGGGGAAGAGAGTTGTAAATGGTTTTCATTATCAGTACAGAGCACTCTGTTTCCATGTATCTATTTATATGTCTCCCCAGCTGTGCTTACCTAGGTGTTTTGACAAGTGTGTTATTTGAGCCAGCCTTCTTTTAAGGTCAGTAGAGAGAGCTGAGATGGGAGGGGCAACTGTTCAGGATGCCAGAGACTGAGGGAGGAGAGGATAGAGCAGAGGCACTTGTAGCCAGAAATTGAAGAGCTATTTAAGTGTTGGCTGCATGGGTATTACATGCCCTTGGTAAGACATTGACTCAAGATAGGGGAATACAGTAAGAGTTGGAATTATTTTTTTCTTTAAAACAGCAGACCTGCTAAAGTGTAGAAGATATTGACTGATAACATTTTGCCAAAAAAAAAAGTGCCTTATATTCCTTGGATATTCTGAATGTAAGCTTAATGAATGCCTTGACTCAATTCAGACAAGATAACCAAATTCCTCTTTCTTCCAAAACTTAGAGAATCAGGTACAAGAGACTGGATGTGGGTTGTACCTGATATAGTAAATCTT